GTCTCACATCCAGTTTGTTGCCAAGTCCTGTAGGTTCCAACTCCCGCATTCGCCCCTTTCTTACGCAAGATGCTACCAAGGAGCTTGTCCATGCTCTAGTAATTTCCCGCATGGATTACTGTAACCCTCTCCTGATTGGTCTTCCCAAAAGCCGTATTGCCCAGCTGCAGTCTGTAATGAATGCTGCAGCTAGACTGATTTTCCTCTCTAGTCGGTCCTCTCACACCTCACCCCTCTGCCGGTCCTTACATTGGCTCCCTGTATGCTATAGGAGTCAATTCAAAGTGCTAACCCATACATTTAAAGCACTGAACAGTTCTAGCCCCGCTTATATCTCTTCACTGATCCATAAATATGCCCCTCCACGTACCCTCCGCTCTGCCCGTGACCACCTCCTGACCGCTGCTCGCACCCGTACGGCCAACTCGCGCTTGCAGGACCTCTCGCGGGTGGCTCCTCTCCTATGGAATAGCTTGCCTACTGCCATCAAACTCTCCCCTAGTCTTCAATCATTTAAGAAGGGCCTTAAAACCCATCTCTTCAGGAAAGCTTATGGCCTCCCAGAGTAATCTCTACCTTACATACCTGTCTCCTGCTCTCTCCTATGGGACAGTGCTTTGCTCTCTCCTCCAGCTCTGCTTCACTCCTACTTGATATTTATTGTCCTAATGTTTCAAACACCCCACCTCCAATAGTCTGTAAGCTCGTTTGAGCAGGGTCCTCTTCAACCTATTGTTCCTGTAAGTTTTCTTGTAATTGTCCTATTTATTGTTACACCCCCCCTCTCAAAATATTGTAAAGCGCTACGGAATCCGTTGGCGCTATATAAATGGCAATAATAATAATAATAATAACCAGAACAGGCCAAATAAAAAAAACACCAAGTCAAGGGGAAAACCAAAAATCAGCATCATAACTAGCAGGGTAAAAAAAAACAAAGTCAGTACTAGCCAGATCAGCAATCCCCAAATTCAAACAAGATCAAGAGCAAGTCCATGTCAAAAACAGAAAATCAATAACAGTAGCAAGGTAAAACGCTCAGGGTCTAAAAACCATGAAAGGGCACTGGACCATAGGAATGCAAGTGAATATATAGGCCCAGGGCATTGCGTCATACATTGCATCATTGGCACATTCTTATAATGGCAGTCAGGACGCCATTTAATTAAGATGTGAACTAATACAAACAGTCAGCAACACTACCTTAGCCAGTGTTCACACGGCCATCTCAGTCTGAGATAAGGAGATTTGATTTTGAAGCATGCGTCTGAAAATGAGTGATACAATGTCTAAGATGTGTCATTCTTAGAAAACTACAAGAAACAATTTACCCCGCACTCAGGTACCGCTTAGTAAACAGGCCATCCATCTGAGAGGCTCTGTGGAAACAGCAGACACCGCAATCTGCCTGGCCTGTCTAGCAAATAGTAAAAGACACAGGCAACACTCCAAGGTTCTTGATAGTGCGTTTATTATCAAATATGTGCAACGTTTCGGCTCTATGGAGTCTTTTTGTTGACGTGGATGCATCAATATTATTGCCAAGTCTTAAAATTGGTGGTTCTGACATTGAAAGTTCGTCAACCCTCTTTTTCTCAAGCACATCTTTAAATGACCAATGGCAAAACATTAGAATGTTAGAACTTCTTTATGATGAGAATCACCATATCTTGAACCAGAGTGTATTCTTATGTTAATAGTGCTGATTGTAAAAGACTATAATCCACAACCTGAAAGTTTGGTGGAAATTCTTTATTACAAGAAGGTAAAAAAATGAAACTCACTGACTCTGGAGCCTACCATGCATAATTACATAATCTTCAAATTCTACTGTAAAACAGCGGGTGGCCCACTTTCAAATCGTGGATGCATATGCAAATTTGTTATTGTTACAAAGAAGTAATTATAATGAAAAAATTAACTATTGTGTGAATGCAAGTACAAGAGTTAAAAGCTTAAAATAGCTGAAGGGTCATTAAAAATAGGTTAATTCTTTAAAGGGACACTATAGTCACCTGAACAACTTTAGCTTAATGGTTGTTCAGGTGAGAACTATAGCTCCCTGCAGCCTTTTTCGTGTAAACACTGTATTTTCTCAGAACATTTTCTCATTTACATTGAAAGCTAGGAACCGCTCCAGTTGCAGTCACTCAGAGTGAACCAGAGAGACTTCGGAGTTGATGGAGGCATAATATGCCTCCATCCACTCAGATCTGCTGTCAGCAGAGCACAGGGCAGCACTGTGCACAGCATCCTGTGATTCAGTGTCTCCTCCCTCTGCATGCAGACACTGAACTTTCCTCATAGAGATTCATTGATTCAATTCATCTCTATGAGGAGATGCTGATTGGCTAGGGCTGTGTTTGACTCATGCTGGCTGTGCCCCTGATCTGCCTCTTTGTTAGTCTCAGCCAATCCTATGGGGAAGCACTGTGATTGGATCAGGCTACCACATGTCAGCAGACTGCTTGTTTTTCTGAGTCTAACAGCATGCAGATTTACAGCTTCAGGCTTGAATACAGTAAGATTTTTACTATATTTATGGAGGCATGAGGGGCCCAAGGGGGCTAGATGGTGGTGTTAACACTATAGGGTCAGGAATACATGTTTGTGTTCCTGACCCTATAGTGATCCTTTAATATGTACACAAAAAAAAATAGTATAAACAGTATATCATTTAAATAAATCTTGTTAACGAATACAGCTTCTTTACTGACCATTGGGAAAAACAATTCAGTAGTAGGGAGCGCAAATTTTAATTGTTAAATATATGTATTTTAAACCTTTTATTTAAAAAAAAAAAACACTTGATAAGTCAAATCACAAAAAAATGCATTTTGATTAATAAACCACTGTATGTTTCAGCTATTAATAGCCCAGCTAATATCAAAATACCCAAGTATATATTAATATACAGTAGCTCAAGAATTTATGAGTCACTGCAGTATGTAAAACATTTTTTAGTAAATAAGAGATAATTGTCTAGTGCAGTGCCCCACAACCGCACCACTGTGCAAGGTGTACCACCGTATGATTGCGGAGAGCAGCGCGGGATGTGCTGGATGTTCCCCTGAACAGTGATGCAGGTTTGGGATAGTTGTGCCACCACACAAGGAGGTAAAATTGTTAGACCTAGCAATGGAACATAGCACTCTAAATGCACATTCAAGTCAGGTAAGCAGTTCACAGCGATTATTCCCAGAAGATTAGTAGATGAGACCTAAAAAGCGCAAAGGACATAAGGCTTCTATAGTATGGTAGACTTTATTAAGAGTATATGTAAAAACTTTCAAAAATTCTAAAACATCTAAGAACATGCGGGACAAAATGTAATTAAGGTATCACTCTCACTCTCACCACTAGGACCGCAAGGGCTTCTCCACCGGATCACCAGGGATTAGTACTGTCCCCCCTTCCAAGCAAAAGTAAGCAGGGAGGGGGGATATGAAAATAAAAATTATATATTTATTAATTTGCCCTCCTACCCCACAGAGACACAGATACTTACCCACACACACACACTGATCCCCCATGCACCACTCACACACATACATACTGCACACCTCACATCCACTACTGCCCCTATACTCTACTACAGCCCCTATCCCGACAGAACCAAGGTAAGTTGTCAAACTGTTCTTAAACAGTTTGACTACTTACTCTAGGAGGGCACTATGAACTACAGCACTACTGGCATCATAACCACTACACAGTGCTGTAGCAGTTATTGTGCCTGGATTGTTTCTTTAAATAATCTAGCAGTGCCCCTCCCAAGATTAGGTTCTGGATCTGCGCTTGAAAGGCAAGCATTTCTGCCGAACAGGGGCCCAGTATATGCCGCTGCGCTGTACATATATACAACCTAGAAATTTCTTTTGACTTGGGGCACCTTGGGAAAATATTTAAATATTAAAGGACCACTATAGGCACCCAGACCACTTAAGCTCAATGAAGTAGTCTGGGTGCCAGGCTCCTCTGAAACCGCTATGTTTACACTAGGGTTAATCCAGCCTCTAGGGGCTGTCTCACTGACAGCCGCTAAAGGCGCTTCCCACTGTGAAAATCACAGTGAGAAGACACTGACGTCCATAGGAAAGCATTGAGAAATGCTTTCCTATGGACTGTTTGAATGCGCACGCGGCTCTTGCAGTGCATGCACATTCAGCACTGACGCCGGGAGGAGGAGAGTTCCCCAGCGCCGAGGGAGCCAGGTGCTGGAGAAAGGTAAGTGTTTAACCCCTTCAGCACGGCGGGAGTTTGACCCTGAGGGTGGGGGGAACCTAAAGACCCTATAGTGGTCCTTTAGGGGCGCCTTGAACCTTAAAAGTTTGGGAACCACTTTGCTAGCACATAACTAGGAAATAAAGTAAATGTTTCAGCAGAGCTTTGCTCTTTGGTAGTAGCTTACTGCTGCCTTTTATTTTGTTGCAACAATATTGTAGTCATTCAGAGGCAATTCCAAAATTTAAAAGAATCAGCTGATTGTACCACTTCTAGAATTTTGCACAAAGATTACTCATTATCCATTAAACAAAATGGTGGTTTACTAGGTGTAAGTTTGAGAACAAAGTTCAAAACGTTTAGGAATGGGCAGGCATAGTCCATTGGTTTCCATAGTTACCACTCCACTTCTATAACCCTGCCCCTACCAGTTAGCGGCAGAATGGGAAAAAAAACACTTACTAAAGTTACTAAATTGAGCCATTAGTCACATCAGCTATGAAAAACACGATGTTACAAAATATGACATCAGATTAATGTCCTTCAATTGTTGGGGGAGGTCGTCCTATCTAACCCATAGAGCTGGTGGCAGTAAATTATTTAGTTTGGTCACGTGGTCTGACACTTTCAAGTCACATTACCCAGCAGACTGTGCGCTACTCCTCGCTGACGTCGATACAGCATTGCAATGCATGCCGGTACTTGCAGTCCGAGATACCAGCATAGTCTGCCAATTATTAAGCGTTGGTGCTATCAGAGAACTACACCTCCCAACAGGGATTTCAGTGACAGCCTTTTAAATGGTCAGCTGGGATATAGTAAATAAACAAGGCTCTTCCTGTCAGGCCTCTTAGAGCTGTGGATTATTTTAGTTAATTGGCTACATTAAGAGTTCGGGAAGGGCAGGTTTAGTGAGAATATAGCACAGGAAGGCACTGTATATGCAGGGAGTAGGTAATATTTGCATTTTTTTAACCTTGATTATTGAATTTGCATGCTGCTAATATTACAACCATCATTGTGTCACCACTTTGAGAATATATTAAGGTTTTGTGACTGGTATTGTTCTGTAAGGGAAAGCAAACTCAAACAAGATGGATGAAAACAAGGTAAGAGTTCTAGAATGAACCATTCATTTGTAATGTTGTAAGTCTGAGCTCCATGTGAGCTTCCAGTAATGCAATGTAAACATTCTGATTATTTTGGTGTCTTTCCATTCACTACTTAGTATGGTGAATAATTATTCTAATGACAAATAACATAAACGTGGCAGCGGGCACCATATATGAATGAAGTAAATTGGTAGTGTTGGTTAAATCAGTCTTTGCCAGTTTGTGCATTTCTACTGTATGTACTAGGTACATTTTATATATATTTGCCTTAGTGAGCAAACACACCTCCAAAGAACAATTGGGAACCATAGGTATTACAAGATTTAGACCAAAAAAATAGGGACCTAGAAAAGTCACTGAATTTGACTATTTATTTACTTATTTTACAGATTGTTCCCTAACCGAACATAAATTGCACTCGGATAGTTTTTTCTTTATAAGGTTCAATTCCATCTTTGGGGATTGAAGAGGTACCATTTCTGAGTAATTTCTTAGTTTATTGTAAAATAATCAAATAATCTGGTAATTTGGCAACCATATTGCAAAATGTAAGGCTACCATAACCTGGCTGAGAAAAGAATATCTTGAATCCATCCCAGTAGAGGTTTTTCTATCAGGGACAGTCTAAGCACCATAACCATTACAATGCAAAGTAGTACAAACGGTTAAAGGAAGACTCCACAGTGCTAATAATAAATATAAGGCAATGCTTAGTAGTTATATCCCTCCGTGCACGCACATGTCTGCTTGTGTGTGCACTGTGTTCCTAAAGAATACTGGTCTGTGAGGCAGTGTACCTTGCACTCAGACTCCAATTCCCAAACCGGGTGCACTCCCAGGGCTCCAAGTATCCAACTGGTAATATCAAAGGTTGCACTCACGGATTCATTAAAAAATAACTTTTATTGAACCTTCATTAAAAAAAATAGACGTTTCAGTCCTACATGAGGACTTTCATCAGGATTATGGAAAAAGGTTTGAGGGTGCCGTGTGTGTGTGCCTTTTGCCTGGTTGGGGGGATCCTTGCTGCCATCCCTGATCCCTGGTGGTCCTAGTGTGAGTGAACTCTACACTGCAGGGCTAGAGTTCACTCTCGCGAGATCTAAATGTTGCCGCAGCAACGCTCCAAACTTGCGAGAGGAACCCTGCGGAGCTGCTGGCAGGAGCTCCCCAGGTCCTCTCCTGCCTCCCTCCCTGCCTGTGGGTCGATCAGGGAGATCTTTGATCTACCTCACCGGCCCATGGAGGCCCACAGCGCGGGCCGCGGGGATTAGGATGTGCCCAGGCACACGCAGTGCGCATTTCTATGACAGTACACCCCATGTACAGGTTTTATAGTGTTTTTGAAAGTTGCAGGGTCAAATTTTTTCACATTGACAATTGCCAGGTTAGTTATGTTGCCCTTGAGAGCGTATGGTAGCCCAGGAATGAGAATTACCCCCATGATTGCATTCCATTTGCAAAAGAAGACAACCCAAGGTATTGCAAATGGGTTATGTTTAGTATTTTTTTTAGTAGCCACTTTTAAATGCTAACCATGCCAGTGTTTGTGACTAAGTGGCTACTAAAAAAGACATACCCCATATTGAATACCCTGGATTGTCTACTATGTAGTTTTTCAATTTTTCACCATATTTTATTATTTTTTAAAGTAAATTATATGACGATGGTATGTAAAGAAAGCCCTTCTTGTTCTGAAAAAAACATATATCATTTGTATGGTAAAAGAGAGAGAGGAAAATTACAGCTAAACAAAAACACCACAAAAGTGTTAAAACAGCTCTGGTCCTGAAGGGGTTAAAGGAACACTCCTGTCACCATAACAACGTAATCTTAATCTTACCAGGTTTTTATGGGTTTTTTTTTTTTAAAGGCCCAGGGGCCACCTGGCACCATAACTTAATTTATATATGCCTAAACTGTTCTTTTAACTTACCTGTAATCCATTGGTGAGATAGTCCTTTACCACAGCACCACCTGCTAGAAGATCATCGTTACGGACTGGCCAGTCTGATGTTTCTCATTGAGACGCAGGGCACCTGCAATTCGTCTCTGTGGAGAAGCATAGACTTCAGCCTAGTGCTGAGGCACACCACTGTCAGAACACAGCTGGATTGCGCTGTCTATTTTTTGAGGTGTCGATTTCTCTTGAAATTAATACTTTATAAACTGCCAAGCAGAGACTTCCAGAGGAGTACAATTATACTTTACTGACTTTTATTCTCTAGTTTTAAATTGTCATTGGTTTTGTTATTTCCAAACTTTTATTTTTATTTTTTAAAACACATAAGAAGCAAAAATATTAATTGACCCTGTCAGGAACAGAGTCTTGATGCACAAATCCTTGATACATGAGCCATCCTAGCCTTTTTCAAGCAAAGGTTATGAACATTGTAGTTGGCTAGCAGCTGGAGATCTATGACTTCCCCTGCTTTACCGTATGTCCACTTGTATTTCTTATCCCTTGTATGTTGTTAAATTTAGTTTATGTATTATAAGTGCACATTTGGAGGCTGATCATTGCAGATTTATTTATTAGTTTTAAATAATCCGATCTACTCTGAATTTTTTTTCCCACAATCTTTGTACAGGTATCTGGTGGCAAGGTAAAGAAATCTGGCAAGAGAGGGAGAAAACCAGCAAAAGTAGACTTGAAGGCCAAGCTAGAACGGAGCCGGCAGAGCGCAAGGGAATGTAGAGCACGGAAGAAACTTCGCTACCAGTATCTTGAGGAGTTGGTGTCCAGCCGAGAGAGAGCAATCTGCGCTTTGCGGGAGGAACTGGAGATGGTAATAGAAGTTTTGCATTACACCATTCCTGCATGAGGAAGTGATGACAGAGCTGCAGCATTTTAGTCAAAACAGTCAAGTCAGCAAATAGACTCCAAGAAATGAAACTTGTAAGGTTTTAGATTATTTTCTTCCAGATAACTATAACTATATAGGTTTTTATGCATTAACGAGCCCTTCAGAAAAAGGAAATCCCTTGCATTTCAATATTCCTGTCAAAACTGGACATTTGGAGCACCATTAGATTTACACCCCATCTGCTCTTTGGTAAGCAGAGCTCTACTTTAAATCACTTCACTAGAGGTTGAGGTTACAAGATAGAACCTATTCATTCTGTGCCTCCAAGTCTGGTCTGGGTCAGAGGAACAGTTTTTACAGCCCTTTTCAAAATAGTTTGCCCTTATGTATCCCATATCGCTCATCTTTTATACAATTTTTTCCCCCTGTCAACCCATCTTTCTTGTAGTCTCTTTTTTGTGTCTTCCTGTTTAACTCTGCATTTGTCTTTGTTCTCCAACTTTCTGTCCTGCTATTTCTCTCTTTCTTATATCTTATCAATCCAAAGTAGCACATTTCTCATTGCATCTCCACTAGTATGCATGTGTTGCAGGTCACATATGATAAAAAAAATTTTTGTCGGTGTGTGGGAGCTTCTAGTGTGTGTGTGTGCGTGCGCGCGCGCGCACGCACACTCACACAGTCTTAAGCTGTGGTTTGGCTGGAATGCTATGTATGTATATTTAGGGAAGGGCCCACAAGAAAAGGCTGTAGGGCAGAATGAACAGAAGCACCTGTGAACCCCTATATAATGACTGGGCATCTCTCCCTCTTCATTGTGTTTTAAAGTTGTGCTTTTTTAAAGGGAATAGATATTTTGTTATTAAAATATAATTATATTGGGGGGCGTGTCCTGACCGCGCATGTGAGCGGACGTGCAGGAACGGTGCTCTCCCGACCCGCGGCAATAAAGCGGCTTCAACAGCGTGGAAAACCCCTAGAAACGAGCGATAACCCTCTGCACACTCAGGTGAACACCCCTACCCCTGATGGCGACCAAAAAATTTAAACAAAAAACCCTCAATCCCCACTTAGAACGGTCACAAACCGCGGAGCCGAAAATCCAAGATGGCGCCGACGGACGGCACTCGCCTGCACACAGCACTGACACAGGAGACTGCCTGTCAGAGCACAGCAATCCTGCAACAGATGCCTCAATCAGGCTAATTATGCAGGAGCTCCACACCTCATTTAAGGCTGACCTCCTTCAGATGACCGCTGACATCAAGGCAGACATACAGAGCATGGGAGAGCGCACCGCATGCCTGGAAGACAGGGCAGACGAGCTGGTGGAGGCACATAACACAATAACAGAGGCCTACACAGACTTGGAGCGCAAACTTAAATCCTTAGAAGAGAAGGTGGCCGATCAAGAAGACAGGAGCAGACGGAATAATATCCGTATAAGGGGTATACCAGAGGCCATTTCACAACAAGACCTATCCAGGTATGTCAAAGACCTGTTTAAAACTCTGATCCCCTCTTTGTCTGAATTCGACTTGATCCTGGACAGGACCCACAGACTACCGAAACCCAAGCATCTCCCACCAGACACTGCAAGAGACACGATCACGAGAGTACACCACTTCACTGTCAAGGACAGAATTATGCAGACTTCCAGAACCATAACCAAATGGCCAGAATTGTATAAAGATATCAAGCTGTTCACTGATCTCTCCTCGGCGACCATGCTCAAACGCCGAGCCTTCGCACCGATCACAGAAGCACTGCGTAACGCAGATATCCCCTACAAGTGGGGCTTTCCTACGAAGCTACTAATTAAAAGAAATGGCGTGGACAAGCCTATCCTGACTCCAGAAGACGGCAAAAAGGCGCTGCAGGAATGGAATATACCCTTCCTACCTACTAGCCCCAGGAAGAAACAAATACCGGCCCATGCACCAAAGGCGTTGTCCAAAGACTGGTCACGAATCCACAGGGCCCCCCAGGCACGCATGGACTCGAACAAGTCACCGACCTGAACGATCCGGGGCCAGAGCCGCATCACGCCTCCCACTGAATGAACTGAACATGCAGGTTTATACTGTTTTGTTATATGTTATAATGCAAGTTCACCTAAGATACCCATTAAGGGTTTAGCCAAAGGCCACAGGCCTAGCCGCAACGGGTGAGCAATACCCGACGGCACCACATTCGACCCAAGTTATTGTTGATCCCCTACACATAGGGATCCAGTTACCACATCAGTGTGGTACACCCCCGAGGTTCTAGTAATCCAACTTTTCCGTTGCTTTAGGCAACCAAATGTCACCAAACCGTGACTTACGGAATTTTGTATATAGTTTCTCCCCCTGTTCTCCCTTTCTCCTCCACACCACCCCCCCACTGAGAGTACTCCGCAAACTCAGCATAACTAATACACACGGTTGCAAACTACCTAGATCTCCCAGGTATACAAACCCCACAGGTTTCCTCCGAGACCGCCGAGTTAAAGTAACCAATAGCTTGATTAAGAAACACAAACCCCTGCCACAGCACCCACCACGCTGGAAAAATGGTGATTAAGCTCATGTCCCTAAACACCAAAGGGCTTAACTCCCCTAATAAACGGAGGCTAGCCTTGCAAGAGGCGAAAAAATGTGGGGCACAAGTGGCATTTTTCCAAGAGACCCATTTTAAATGGAACTCTAGACCCAAATTTACCTCAAAATGGTACCCTCACGATTTCCATACATGTTACTCAGCGAAGAAAAGAGGAGTCTCCACAATGATCAGCAAAGATGTGGCCTTCTCCTTAGTTAGGAAAATATGTGACAAAAAAGGTCGATATTTAATTTTACAATGTATGTTGAACAATGCACCGTATACTCTGATTAATGTATATAGCCCTAATGAAAACCAAAACGAGTTCTTGCAAATGATCTTAGCTCTAACTGATATGTATAGACACGGGGAGGTGATTATTGGAGGCGACATGAACTGCCTATTAGATAGCAGATTAGACTCCTCCACCACAGCCCAAATCGAGAATTGCACACTCAGACACAGAACCACGTTAACCACAAAAATATGCTCCACACTGACTGCAGCTCGCATGGTAGACCCATGGCGCATTCTACATCCCACAGATATAGATCACACATGCTATACAGCAGCCCACAACAGCTATTCTCGGATAGATAGATTCCTCATACCCACCACGTTGATGGCCCAAATAGAAGGAGCAACAATTGGGGTAATGACGTGGTCAGACCATGCTCCCATTACACTTCACATTAAAGAAGCGTTTAACAATAAAGGATCTGGCTCCTGGAGACTTAATGAATCTCTTTTAGCAGACCCAGCAATAATATCCCAGATCACGACAGATCTACAACACTATATAGCAGAAAACACGACCGCTGACTCTACAATCGAACACATTTGGCTAGCATATAAGGCGGTCATACGAGGCAGTTTTATAAAACATGCCAGCTATGCTAAAAAGCAGAGAATGACCGAATACACCAATCTCTTGGAAGAAATCCGAACTCTAACACATTCAAACAAAAGAGACCCAAAACCAACCACAAAAACAAAACTCCTAGCCCTCCACAACAAACTGAACAACATTGAGCTAGCCAAAACAACTTACCTACTCAGGAAATTGAAACACAATTTCTTTACGAGTGGCAACAAAGCTGGTGCACTATTGGCATCACAACTGAAAAAGAGGAATGTCGCCTCCAGAATCGCCTTCCTAAACAACCCCAAGGGCATAAAAGTAACGAACCCCCAAAATATTGTAGACCAATTCGCTCAATACTACGGCGAATTATACAACCTCAACCGGGACCCCAAGGTACACATACCGACCCCAGACACCATAGATGACTTTCTAGCTGCCTTGGATCTCCCCAAACTGACAGAAGACGACCTAGCACCCCTAACAAGACCCTTCTCTCTAGACGAACTCACGAAAGCCATCTCTCAACTCCCAGCACACAAATCACCGGGCCCTGATGGCTTAACAAATGAATACTATAAAACTTTCTCACCAACCATAGCGCCACTGCTCCTCCAATTAGTTAACAAATGCGCTACAACAGGTGCGCTCCCAGAAGAAATGCTCTTGGCACATATCTCCACTCTCCCCAAGCCAGGCAAACCCCCTACACAATGCAAAAATTTCCGGCCTATATCCCTCCTAAATGGAGATGCCAAGCTATACGCGAAGCTCCTCAGCAACCGGCTCGCCCCCCTCCTGCATAAAATAATCCACAATGACCAATCTGGGTTCATCAGGGGCCGCCAAGGCTCAAACAACACCAGAAAAATATTAAACATGATCTCCACGCTGGAGTCCAACGGATCATCAGGCCTCCTCCTCGCCCTAGACGCGGAGAAGGCCTTTGATCGTCTAAATTGGGCCTATATGACAAAAGTACTAGCACAATTTAACTTTCCAGAATCTACCATAAATAGCATCATGGCTTTATACCACCGCCCAGCAGCGAAAGTATCGCATGGAGGGTTCCTCTCTACGGCATTCTCCATCACCAATGGCACACGCCAGGGATGCCCCTTATCGCCCCTACTGTACATACTTGCTCTAGAACCCCTGGCACAAAAGATCCGAACACACCCCGAGATACTAGGAGTCAATATCCGCAACAAAATGTACAGCCTAGCTTTGTTTGCCGACGACATATTTATAGCATTGTCGGATCCACAAAAATCTCTCCCCCCCCTGTTGAACCTCCTACAGGAATTTGGCAATATTTCTTACTACCGCCTCAACCAAGACAAAACCCAAGCTCTACCAATAAACCTGCCCAAACCCTTGTTAGACACACTCCAGACCTCATACCAGTTCGACTGGAAATCACACTCCCTCACATACCTGGGAATAAAGATAGCGCCCACGATTTCTGCCACTTCACAACTAAACTACAAACCTCTAATTACACTATGTAAAGCGGAAATGAACAGATGGAAACACGCAAAAATCTCATGGTTGGGAAGAATTAACACGTACAAAATGATAATCCTCCCACGTATCCTTTATATCTTTAGGATGATACCATTAAGGATCACGCCCCAATTTTGTAAGGCACTACAAAAATTATGTGGCGCTTATATTTGGAGCGGGAAAAGACCCCGGGTGTCCCTAGCACTCCTTCAGACTGCCCCACGACAGGGAGGAGTGGGTCTCCCAAACCTGAGACAATACCATAGAGCAGCGATCCTCTCCACAGGCATACTCCTTCACGCCACACCAGGCACATTACAATGGGTAGACATGGAAAGAACACAATTTACAAGCATGTCTCTAACCGACTACCTATGGACACCAAGGAAGTTTAGAATTAAGCGCACAGACCTGTTCCCAACCACACAACTTACAATATCCGTATGGGACACCTTTATGGAGACAATAGGTCACAAGGATACACTACACACAAAATCTCCACTCTCGGTCCTGAGAACAATAGTACCTAACATTCCCCTCAAAGACTGGAATGCGGCGGGAGTGGCAACAATATCACAGCTCTTGGACGCCAAAGGCGTACTACCATTCCCAATACTACAAACGAAATGGCAACTCCCAAACAGGGCTATCTTTTCCTATCTACAACTAAAAAGCGTGATTCAAACACACACACCCCCAATATATCCAACACCAACTGCGACTAGACTCACTTCCCACTTACTCCTAGACAGATGTTGGGTGGCACCCACAAAACCCAAAGCACTCACGCTATGTTACAAGGCATGGCAGGAACTCTCAACACCCACATCACACCCCTACAAACTCCACTGGGAGACAGACTGCGGGACAGCACTGACAGACTACGACTGGCTACGCGCCCTCAACGGTCTCTCTAAATGGACCAAGTGCTACACACACATCGAGGCCCACAAAAAACTCCTCTACCGTTGGTATATGACACCACAGAGACTCCACCGTATATACCCCAATACGCCCAACACTTGCTGGCGGTGCAACGCAACTGTAGGGACCTTGGAACATTTATGGTGGTCTTGCGGTAGTATCCAACCACTTTGGACCGCCGTATCACAGACACTAGACCAACTTCACATCCCTAAATTCCAACTGTCAAAAACATCATGCCTCCTGCTCCTACTCCCAACTAACCTCACCCTAATACAAAAACAGATTGCAGCCCTTACAATACTGGCGGCAAGAAACTTGCTAGCACTACATTGGAAATCACAGACCTGCCCATCCTTAGCCCAACTTCAAACCAAACTCACCCAATACAAAATCTACGAAAGAATGGCAATAATATCCCCCCCCAAAAAACTGGCATTCGATATGGGTTGGGGGAATTGGGAGGGGGCGGTGGACAAGGAGGGAGGTATACCCGGGCCAGACCCTGTTCTCCAATGAGGGCAAGACTCATACAGGACATGAACAATGCTTATACCACATTCTATCAGTACTCTCCATCACTCCCCTGCTCCCCTTCTTCCCCCCCGCCCCCTCCTCCGGGCCCTACTGGCCTTTCCCCCCCCGTCCCCTACCAAGTTTGCACCCTACCACTAGGGCTACCTACTGATACACCAACATACTCATCAAAATGAGGCATAACTCCGGTACTTCCTAACCCGCACACCTGGGACTAACTAGTGCACGAACCATCATAGGCTATACAGCCTACGATCATAACTACGTCGACTGAGCAGACTATTCATGCACACAACCATGGTTACGAGAGGATTCCCTGGTATAGCTCTCACCCTGAACCAACCGCATGGACACTTAGGCGATAGCATATACCACCCAACGAATTAACAGCCTACGCATATACTTAAGTTACTATGACAAAATACATGCATGTACCAACCCCCCCATGTACTCACTCAGGTTCCGCAAATTTCTGTGAACGTGATGTTTATGTCAAATACTGTAACTCTGTATCCCCCCGCTAACATACCCTTTTTTCCTTCTGTACCCCTGACCACATATTGAAGATATAATAAAATACAAATTTGAAAAAAAATATATAATTATATTATTATCTTAGGATAGTGATTAAAGCTGACCACATTGATTTATTTATTTATTTTTAACTCCCTTGCAGTAATGAGAACTGTTTTCAGGAACCGTCTCCTACATTATTCTTGTCAATCTCTCACTGCCACACCCAACTCTGGCTCTGCCTAAATTACACCCTCCTCTGCCCCTTCCCTCCTCCACCCTCCCCCCCTACCAATTTATTTTCATTTAGTGACAGGCATACGTATTTACTAAGGCCTGCAAGTTTTTTTTTTAATTTGCGAATAATTACTTACATGTTAAATCACATAAAAAATAACATTTGCTGTTTAAGTAATTATTCTTCTGTATGGTAGCATAACATGTGCTTTTATAGTTTGGACATGAGCCAGAGTAATATACTCCATAAAATCAAATTAAAAAGAACATGAAATTAAAATATAATTCACTTTATGCTGAAGGTCAGAGGGTCCGATATTTAAATGTCCTGTCTTGCATTGCTATGTGTTGTGTGTTTTATGGTTCCCATGTGGTCAGTGTTCCTGACCTGAATTGTTAACTTGTCCATTAAGTAGTTATCTTTTATGTAAGTGATAACTTGTCGTATAAGCAGTGTCTTGGTTTTAGACCGGATTGTCATTTCCCTACGTGCTGCTAGGTTTATTATGTTAAGAAGTTTTTGTTGTTTTGTAGTCATTCCTTCTTTGTGTCTGGAAAGCAGACATGCTCAGTGATTCAGGTTTACATATCCATTAAAAATTGCTTTTTCTAGGGTAACTACTTCCCTCTAATACTATGACCGCAGGACCACAACATATTGAGGAAGGTTCCCCTCTCCCCACAGAAGTGCCAACAAGTATCCATGGCCATTATGTTCGTGTGGCTGAGCTTTTAGGGGCTTCAAGGGACACTATAATCACCAAATCAACTTTAGCTTAATGAAACTGTTTTTGTGCAAAGATCATGCCTCTAAAGTTTCACTGCTCAATTCTTATCTCTCTTATCTGCTCAGTTCTGGGTGTCAGTCCGTTTAAGTGAGGCGGCCGGCTGAGGGAGAATGAAGGCAGCTGTAATCATCCTGCAATTCTTACTGTGCTCCTTCACACACTGTTTAATAATGCTGGAAACTGGAAAATAATTTTATTCAGGCCCTGGCATCACTATATAGCGAGGGAGCAGAGGAAGAAGAGTTTCAAGATTCCGGCCCCCTTCTGATCGCATGGGAAAGGTGTTTTCACTATCCTTTTTTTCTTGTGCCGGTCTCACTGTGGCTGGCTCCACCTCCATGGTTGAGATAATCAATCTTGATGATCTCAGCTAAGCCAATGCTTTTCCATAGGAAAGCATTGGGAGGCTATTGCACATGTGCAGTAAAATGCCATTCTCCACAAATCAGCATTTCCTTATAGAGATTAATTTAATTAATTAATTAATATCTATGGGGAACATTCAGCCCCTCCATGCAAAGCGTGGAGATGCTGAACGTAGGTGATGCACACTGTGCAGCCCTGGACTAGGAATCCTCTCTAGTAGCTGTCTGACTGTTAATAGAGGTGTTACTGGGCAGCATTGTTACTGGGCAGGATATAGATGCCAAAACCACTACATTAAGCTGTAGTGGTTCTGATGACTATAGTGTCTATTTTAAGAAATTATATTTTTTCATTGAAAATCGAACTTTGTTAGTTTAAAAAAAAAAAAAAAAAAAGAACTGGATCCTAGATTCCAAGCAAATTTGTCAAGCCCTGTGGAAACATGCACCTGTTATCTGCATGGTCATTTATACCACCAACGTCCCCCCACCCCTTTGGGTACCATGGAGAATATTGGCATGGAATGACGTGTATGGTTAATTGGGGTTTGGTCTCTGTCACACATTTTGGGGAACCCCTGTCCCAGTCGTCCAATATCACTTTTCAGAATCATTTTGTGAATTCTGTTATTGTCTGTCGTAGGTGGGCAGGAGCACCAAGCTCTATATGGGACATATTATATGTAGGGCAGTCTGACTGGTAAGTTTGTGGAAAGCGGTCGAATCAACATGGTTAAATGTTTTGTAGTTATGTGCTTTTGAGAACTTGGAGTTATGTTAATTAGTGGGGGGGTAGTCATTCGCTAAGTTGGAGACACTTAGTAAATTCACATTGCGGCCTGCAGCTCTAAGTGTGAGCTGGTGCCCAGGGCTTGGTGAAAATATGTCTGTTATCACCAGGCGTGTCAAGAATATGATAATGATAGGCCCACCATATTTAGAAGGCCACCCCTCCATGTGTCTGCCCTTTTTGTAATATGGTTAAAAACATAAAAGGCCTCAGGTAAATAGATACATGCTAATGTAAATGAAAAAATGCAGGATAGCATTTGGGTATTTCACTGCCACATTTTGATTAGCTCAGCGATCCCAAGTGATTAGTGTGAAGTGCAGGACAGTTCGTTGGCCCACTAGTCCTCCCCACTGTCATCTCCGGTACCAAAAGATTGGTCCTCCAGGCCTGTGGGATGAGAGGTGCAATCCTAGTGGGCAATTGGTATAAAGCTCTGTGAGGAACAGAAAAACTTTTCTGGAGTACCCATACAAACTTGTATGGGTCTTGTAGGCATGTAGAATCGTTCATGTGGTCTTTTATGGTGCCCCTGGAGTGATCAGCACTGTGCCAGTAATAACTTCTTTGGGTTGTGTATATAAGTCAGTCTCCAACTTCATGCCACTCATGAGGTATATTGGTGCTCTCATTGGTTGTGACCCGAGGCTCTCCTGAAAAGTGGTAGGGTTGGACCTCGGGAGGAGAGTGTGTTTCTTTCCTTCTTTGAAGGCCACAATTTTGAAGGGGTGACTCCATGTGTATGCCATGAGCCCCAAGTTGGCCTGCGACCGGCTTCCATTCCCTGCTGTGTTGCAAAGTCGTGGGTAATGGGTATTGAAAGAGGAGAATTCCTTGGTATCTGAGGTTTGCTTTTCTGCTGTTTTTCATTACAGCCTCCTTTTTGTGGTGGTGGTATTATTATTTATATAATTCCAACTTTTCCTGCAGCACTTTACAATAAATGAGACAGCTACAAAGTGTTACGGTTGATGAGGTCCCTGCTCAAACAAGCTTACAATCTAGAAGGGAAGGGCACTGAAGGATATAGGCAACAAGGTGGTGAAGTAGAAGCACTGGAAGATGACAGTTAAGTGTGGTCCTTTTAAAGGAACACTCTGCTGGCCAAATTGGCAAAAATAATAAAAAAGAATAATTGTTTAGTAGATATACCACAATGAATGCATGTATTCATTGGAAATATATCTTAAAAGAGCTTGTAAAGGCTCTTGGGGTGCATGCCTGGCACCATAACCACTACCACAAGATTGGTTGTGGCACCTGTGTTTATCTAGGTTGATCACCTTATACAGCGCTTCAGAGTTGCTGGCGCTATATAAATAATAAAATAATAATAATGTGGTGTGGGTATTTAGCTGCCAGACCTCCATGCATACATTTATATTAATTGATGCAAACCATTTTCTTTCTCTTGTTTTAGTACAAGCAGTGGTGTACAGCAATGGACCAAGGGAAAATCCCATCTGAAATCAAAGCCTTGCTCAGTGGGGAGGAGCTCAACAAATCTGCTCCGAATTCTGGAAAACCGCACAGACCTGGCAAAACGGATGTGGCAGAAAAGTGTCCCTGTGAGTGTCGCGCAATATGTATATAGTTTACTGGTGCAGTCACTTTATTTCTATCTTTATGAAATACTAACTTGCAGGGAAGTGACTGTGCTGCTTTAAATTTGAAACTCGCTTTGCATTCCTGACTAGTCTAACTTTAGTAAATTACTCTGTATATGAGTATTTTTAGTTATTGTTTATTTATAACTTTATAGGACTGTTTGATATTTTTATATGAGTTCACTAATTTTAAAGATATTCTGTGTTTTTATTCTACAGGAATCCTCTCTCAGCACTTTCAATTTTGATGGCCAGTGTCAAAAATAGAAAAGAACAGGCTCTCATTGGATGGATTCTGTACGGAGGTCAGCTTAGCCTTTGTTCCAACACTCACAGGGCTGAGCCTTGATGGCTGATTAAGTCAAGTTCTAGTGAAGTCCTGCTTGAAAACTGGAGTTTTGGGGACAGCTCATTATTACCCTGATTTCCAGGGGGAAAAAGTTATTTTGGTGAAACTGCAACTGAAACACTATTTTGTACAATTCAATCTGCCCTGCTCTGCTTTGATATAAAATAACCCTTTGAGTGCCTGAGATACAGAGTGCAAATGCTAGCATTTACTTTATCAACATGTTTTTCTCCTTATTTCCCTTCTCATTTTAATCTTACAAATGGTCTCTATTAAGAATGTGGATTCTCACGAATTAAAGGGAATAACATGTACATCTTTTGTTAATGGCTTTCACAATGTACCAGAATGTGAAGGGTTTGCCTCTGTATTATTATTATTTTTTTTTTAAATTCAGAATTTACCAGAAAGCTGATTCCTTTGCTGCACTCTACAGTAATCAATGCTAAAGTATTTTATTTTGGATGCTTTAGTTATATATTTTATGTTCTTCAAGGTTTCTTCTGCAGTTATGCCTACCCAGATCCATCTGGCCTATCCAGATGTTTGCTGCTGGCAATCTGCGCTTAGTGTCAGGTTTTCATAACGCTAAATGTATTGTCCTACTAAATAGCTTTACACATTATTCACTAGGTGGATATCTCTTGTAGGAACAGCAATGCAGAGTACGACATTATATTCTTGTAGCACATCCAAAAGGTTTACCTTAACTACCAGTGCTATTCTCAAATAATTATGTCTATTTTTTGTAATTGTTTTGCTGACACAGTGACTTTAAATTATCTTGTTGCTTGTTTAAAATTGACTTTCATTTACTGCCTAGCACTTTAGAATTTTAAAGGGATGTTTTCTTGAAGATAAGCTTTATTTTATTAAACCTAACTTGAAAAACCTATTCGTGTTGATTTTGTAATTTCTTTTTTGTGTAGTTATTTTATCTTTCCTTTGAGAGTCCGCTCTGAAGGTTTCAAGAATTCACATTTTTGTTCCATACAGTATTCTCTATGTAGTGCGATGTGAGTACTGACCAGACCTGTACAACAGGCTATGTTTGCTTGTTAGTTTTATAAAACCATACTTTATATCTTATATTTTATGTGTATCAATGTGAGTGATCTGTGGTATAATTGTTGTCTTTGAGTGATCTATGGTATAATTATATATTTTTTATTTTCCGAATTTTTTTGTGGCATTAAAGGTACACTATAGACACCCAGAGACACTTCATCTCTTTGTCCCCTTTACCCTGCAATGTTTACATTACAGAATTAAGACCGCCTCTAGTCTCTGTATTCCAGACAGCCACTAGAGGCATTTGCATTTTCACAGACAGTTTAATGTCCAGCGTCTTCAAAATCACAACAAAAAAACATTTCCTTTCCTATAAGGAAGACCTAATGAGCATGTATCCTCCATCACCATGTCATCACCGAAGGAGGAGACAGAGCCAGTGCCGAGAAACGCTGGAATTAAGGTAAGTGTTAAAAATGGGGGCCATAAAGATAGTTTTGTATTCCTAATGCTATAGTGTTCCTTTAAGTGATTTGACACTGCCAGCTATGGAACTTACAACCACTAGGTTTAACCCATGTTCCATTGTTGGTGCATTAACTAAGTAAGTTTTCTTACAAACGTGAGCTCATGATGCAAGAGTCCATTATTATGGAGATTCAACATCTGAATACACTTACAGGGTTTTAAAATAATGTGGTGGGGGGTAGGGTTCAGAGGATAGCAGCCAAACTGAACGGTCACCTCCTCAGCGTGCTACATATCACTAAGCTAATTTGCCACTAATTTCCCCACTTTTGCTAAATAATTTTGGGTATCTTCTAAACTCCGTCACAGGCTGCATCGCGATGGTTAGAAAAAACAAGAAACAAAATCAAGAAAACCCTAGGCAGGGCATGAGCATTGGAGATCTTTGGCAGCAAGGACATGGCCTTTTACCTCGACATGGGCTCTGATCTGTCCGATGTCCTGACCTTGGAAGCAGAGAATTACCAGCTCTGCTGGTGCCTGTGCCGGTGCTGTCTTAGCGAGGCTCGACCCCGGTTACAAAGGCAGTCACGCATGAACTGCTTGCGGACCTTAGGCATAATATCCAGACTGAGGTGGCTGACATCCAGAAGGAAATATGGGAGACGAGTGCTAATAATTTTACATGTTTATACAAAAATATGATGATTTGGAAAGCTTATCCAACAATATTAAATTGGGGTCACAGTTTGTTAGAATGCACGCTTAGGACATTGTACTGTTTTGTATCTAGCCAAAATAGATGACTTGAATTTGTCCAACATTCAACAGCAAGAAAAGGAAGTATGAGAGAATCATAGATTCTGCCCCCTCAGACAAGTACCTCATCTCTTGCTACTCCTGTGATTTCTTGTACATTTATGTGAATTTAGTGGCAGATTTATGCTTTAATGTATGTTTTTGCTCAGTTCATGCTTATATTATTACTGGGTTTATACCCTACTGGTGTCTGGGAGTGCTGCCTATTGTGGTCTCTGGAACCCCAGTTTCTTTCACCTCGGGGTAGTGTTTCCCCTTATTTCTTTCACTGCTGTGCAGTTTCTAATGTGGTACAACTGGAATAACCTGAGCTGATCTCCGTTTGTGTCCGCGGTCTAATCCGCAGTTTTCGGACGACCTGCGCATGCGCAATCGCCTTTTTACTGTTTCCCCTTCATAACGGCATACAGACAGACAGACAGACAGACATGCATACATACATACATACAAACATGCATACAGACAGACTTACATAGACATACATGCATACAGACATACACAGACAGGCATACATACATAGACATGCATGCATACAGACAGACATGCATACAGACACACACACACAGCTCATTTTCCAGCCACCTTCGTGTCTCTTACCTTTTCTTTGCAGGAGGGTGGCTGGGGATGATGGGAGTCGGCGCGGCTCGCTCTTCACTGCCTGGCTCTCCCTCTTCACTGGCACGCACGCTCCTCCCGCGTGGAGTGAGCTGGGTGGAAGTGACCACTTCCTCCCAGCAGCACTTGCGGCTGCTTTTTTTTTTTTTTAAAGGGGCCCGGTCGCGCTATACCACGGCAACAGCGTTGACCGGGCCCCTGAAGATATACGGCCCATCGGGTGGCCCTAAGTGTGTGGGCCACACGATGGGCCCCACACGTGTGTTTGTGTTTAGTGAAGTCTCCCGAGAATAACAGTACCCACCATGTACAGGTTTTATGGTGTTTTGGAAAGTTAGAGAGTCACATATAAGGTTTGCATTTCATTTTTTTGACATTGAAATTTGCCAGATTGTTTATGTTGCATTTGAGAGCGTATGGAATGAGAATTACCCCCATGATGGCATACCATTTTCAAAAGTAGACAACCCAAGGTATTGCAAGTGGGGTATGTCCAGTCTTTTTTAGTAGCCACTTAGTCACAAACACTGGCCAAACATTAGTTTTTTGCTTTTTTCACACAAAAACAAATATGAATGCTAACTTTGGCCAGTGTTTGTGACTAGGTGGCTACTAAAAAAGACTAAACATACCCCACTTTCAATACCTTGGGTTGTCTACTCTTTCAAATGGTATGCCATTATGGGGGTAATTCTCATTCCTGGGCTACCACACCGTCTCAAAGGTAACATTACTAATCTGGCAAATTTCAATTTGACCCTGTAACTTTCCAAAACACCATAAAACCTGTTAATGGGGGGTACTGTTGTACTCGTGAGACATCGCTGATTACAAATATGTGCATTTGTTTACAGTAAAACCTAACAGTATTATGACATTCACAGCTAAAATGTCAGACGGAAATACAAATTAAAAAAAATAAATAAATCTTATTTTCTCACATTTTTTTAAATTTTATTCATAATAAATTATGTTCCATATATGAATAGTTAATGATAAAGTAAAGCCCTGTTTCTCCCGAACAAAATTATATCTAATAAGTGTGAGTGCACTTAATGTGACAGCAGTGAATTACGGTTGAACAGACATATGGCGCAAATTCCAGTTTTTGTTTACGTTTTGTTTTGATCAGAACGTGCACTATTGACTCCGTCCTGAAGGGGTTAAGAAAGCTGGCATGCCCTCAGAGGGCACTCTAGACCCACATATATGGAGTGAATTTATGTCAAATTACAGAGGTTAGTTAGAAGATAATGAGTTAGCAGAAGTTGCCCAAAAATGGCATGATACTGCTGTTGAATGAACTAAATGTGGTTGTAGAGAAACCACCAGAAAAGGTGTACCATATTATCAATTTTTTGGACCTCTAGGGTCCCAGAGTGGGCAAGAAAGAGGGTGGTCGACCAGACTTAAGGGAACCCCTAGTTGCCCCCATAGACACCCTAGTGGGACCATTAGCTCCACAATTAACTACTCCCATGATACCCAAAGTTGAGAGCGTATACCATGAGAATAGACAGCTGAGCTCAGATATCCAATACTGGGAAGAATATAAGCCCTGGACACCAAGTGAACAATTGGCAATAATACAAAAGCTGCCGGATGTTGAAAAGACCCCCTTAGCTCTAGTCCAGTCTCTATCCACCATTCAAGCTACTTACCAGTGTACTTGGATGGATTTAAAACAGATTGTTGCCCTAAAAGCTGGCCCCATTTGGACTACAATAATTACTAAATATACTGATGCCCCTGCTAATCTACTAGGCAGTGATATACTGTCTGCTCTTAGTGCAAATTTGCAGTATAGCCCCACTGGAAAAGTAACATTGTCTGTGCCTTTGGAGGACAAACAAATGATATCTCTTTCAAATGTTCTGGCAACTCTCACTATGCCCAGCCATGTGCCAGAACCTACCATTGACTTGTCCTCAATCCCTGATTCCTTATGGGCTACAGGGAAGACAGATACAGACAGACTCTCTGTGCCCGCAGTCAAAGTGAATCTCCTGCCCGGAGCCAAACCTCCCTATCAAAAACAATATCCCCTAAGCCCAGCACAGGAAGATGCTATTTCCCATGTATGTACGTAGTGGGGAATCGCGATGCAGCCTAGAACAAAAACTAACCCCATTCAACCCCCCCAATAATGACAGACCACTTAGTATGGATGAAACAGGCCACAGCATTTATTATCACAAACTAAATTACTGCATAACACATCCATAACTTTATTTATTAAATCTCTTCTTTTTCTGTAACCAAAAACGTTAGACATAAAGAAGCATTAATTAACATATATACATATATAACTCCACACATAGTGTTATACAGTGACCCAACCGTCCTTGCCAATAAACATACAGTGGTTCCTAATCACCACTTCCTCTCACCTCCCCACTCGTCATAAAAATCATATCTTTCCAATGCCCACCATCAGCAGCAACCGTGTTTCAACTCCAGCTGGAGTCTTCCTCAGTGCACCATTAACATAGGCCTCGTCCGACCTCCAGCAAGCGCACCCATCCCCTCGAGATAACTAGGCCACATCCGGCCAAACCCTAAGTCGAACCAGAATCCCCCAAGTCCCCAAGACAAACCTAGAAACCCATCTCGTTCGATTCCCGACGGCAGCGCACCAGGGCAATCACATTGCTGAGCGCACTGCCAACAGGAACGGGCAATAGCCTCAGCCCGGCCCCTGAGAACCTCTGGGAAGAAACAGAATGCGTAACATGTCCAGATTTAAGAGCACCCAAATCCCAAACAGCCACCGAACCCAGGTCATTCCACCCAGACAGATGACAAAACCCCCGGCACCCCTAGGAGGCGGGACAGCTGACCCAGGACGAGGAGGAGCCACACCCCCTCACGTATCTGGCGCCAGACCACCGAACCTTCGCTCCGAAGGCGTAAGATCCAACCACTCGCCCCCCGCCTACTGTCCCAAATGACATATGAGCATTCCACCCTCCTTATTCCGGGTGGAGGGGGAGAAGACAGTAACCGCGGAGAGAAATCCATTTGGAGACCGGTAGGGTGAACCCAAGGAACCTACCACCCTGACCCCCACTATTCAAGCCCTTTGAACCAGTGGCACAAGCATACCCAGCCTGGCGGCATC